TTTGATGCAATATAGTAAATTCTCTGCCTTTACTGATCTACAGAAACTGTTTTCAGCTGTTGATTCACTTAGAAAAGGTTGGTATTCAGACTGTCTTCAGAAGAGAGATTGCAGTGTATGCTTTACCTTGAGGGCAAGAACAGTGAACTTATTTGTTAAACAGAGAGATGCACTAATTTGAGGGAATGAGATAAGAAGTAAATTCAAATATTTGCTGAGTATTTTGTAATTAGTTGAGAGGACAGAGCCTCAATAAACTAAACAGAGTCTACTTCAATAATCAAACATATAGGCTGATATTGCTAGCTTGGACAGGAATCTTTTGACAATACCATTAAAGAAAATACAGCAAAAATGTAATGTATTTCACAATAAACCTCTGGAAAATACTTTGTTTGTACTTTTTACACAATCAGAGAAAGCCTGACTGTCAGAGAAATCGTAGAAATATAATGGAAAGTGTATTTGTTTTGGAAAAATGCACTCTTGTCCTCCCTGACTTCCAGGATTAGGCTTGAATGCCATTAATTCAGGATGATGGAAGCAGAAGAATGAATTCCACAGTTCTCTTACACATTACCTGTGCTCCATGCTGGTGCATCAATCTCTTTACAGGAAGAGAAGCACAGGCTTATGTTTGAAACATCAATAGCTGATTAAATGTAAATATAAGTATTTAGGGTCACTGAAGGAAAGAGAATCTCAGATTTTTCTACATGTAAATCATAAGCAGAAAAAAAAAATCTTCTTTATTCTTCTTGTTTTAATCTGTAGTCTTTTTCTTTCTCTGGCATAAAAAATAAAGCCAGAAGATTTTTCTTTCTCTTGCTTTCTTCTCACAAATCATGAGAGGAATTCTGGCTTATTCTTAAAAAAATTACATTAAGCAATGGGTTCCTATCACGTGAGTGAGTTGTGACAGCTTTTATTGTTGACCCAAATGCCCTACACAGGTCACAAATACAGTCAAGACTTTACTAGCACCTCCTGCCTATGAATTCACACAGGTTTGTTACTCACAGTGGTTTCTTTTGGGCCTCACCGACAACCACACAGTGCCATCTGGTGTTCTCAAAAAGCAATAAACTGTTCCTAAAATCTCTTAAATCATCTCAAAAAAAAGCTCAAAATAAAGACTTGACCATCACAGAGCATTGCTTCCCAAGCCTACCTGGAAAAGAACCACTAACAATCCTAACCTCAGGTGTAAAATAATGGGCTCTGAGCTGATCATTACTGCTCGGGATGGAACGATGATGGTAATGAAAATTCAGTATATTTTAAGAAAATAATTTCTGAAATGGAGGGGATAGAGGTAGTGAATAAATTACTCTCTCAGAAAAATGGATGATTTTTCTGGAATCTCAATAAGCTTATTAAGCAGTGTACTTATTTAAGGAGAAGTTGAGTAAGAAACACATTCCCTGGGGTGTTATTGTTAGGTTGGATGTGACATACACACACGTGATTAGGGTTTAAGAAGAAAAAAGTTTTTAATCTGCATGTTTTCTAGCTTATATACTTTTAACAAAGTGTGATTTTAAGTCATTAATTGTATTATAATAACTTATATTTATTGGTGCAAAGCAATTAACGTTAATATAATTGGCAAAAGTTTTACAGAAATTTAATATATACACATTTATAAATTTAATGTATACACATTTACTTATACACATAATTTAGTTTACAAAAATTTTCATTAATTTTTACATGTATTTTTTTCTAATGTGTTTCTATGCTAACAGCCTTATCTTTTTCTTTACTATAGATATATTCAAAAATCATCAATTGTTATTTCTTCTATTAACTCAGCTTTGCTTGCAAGCCAGCTGTCAAACCCCTCCCTACTGGGGGAATCAAGAGAATACAGGCTTTGATCTCTTTATCACTTCACTGCACCATTGCAAATAATGGAAACGATCCTAAATCCTTTCCTTGTGTTTTTGGGACATTAACTAATGCGTGTGTCTTAGTATTAAATATATGTTGGATATTAATTGTCTCACACAGCTGTCAACATCCATATACAAATTTGCTAAAATTGTATTTAAGTTTCCTTAAGGACCTTGAAATTGTTTCTGACAAAGCAAGATCCAGTTCTTCCCCTGAACCATGAGCAATGGCTGTCAAAATCCATGCTCTGAAAATACCTGAGAGAAGACAAAATAAAAAAGCACCTTCTAGACTCCAAGACGTTTTCACCAAGGTACACACATGCATGCGAATATTTATTTCTTAACGTAGATAAAATGCCTGGTTCATCCAGAGAGGCAGAAGGGCACAGAGGATGCTGGCTGCAGGGAGCAGTAGGCTGTTTTTGGGACCAGGGATTGTTTTTAGGCGAGGAGGGTGCGGACAGCGGCCAGACACAGCCACCTACCGGCCTCCAGGCCCTTGGCCTCAGCAGCCAGCCCGGCTCACACCCACGAGTTCAGCTTTGCAGCATGAAAATGTGCCCCAACCCATTCCAGTAGAACCTTGACTTGCATCCATGGGTAACCAGTGATTCTCTTTATCAGGGACTGGCATTTATCCTGGATGGGTTCAAGCACAGAAGGCAGGACTGCAGCACGTTGGAAATCGTGTCCCAGCCAAGGCAAACCACACTTGAATTTCACCCCAGGGTTTGAGAGGATTGCATGACTTGCAGAGGATTAGCCACGTCTCCTGCCATGCTGCAATATGTTGGCATGTGACTGCAATGCATTCTGCATCAAACACACGTGGAAGACACTTTAAAGTTTATTTACAGAAAGCATCTGCCTTTATGTTTATACGGGTAGCCATGTATTTTGTACCAGATGGTGCTCTTTCCGATTCTTGCTTCAAAGTTGACTTTAAGGAGCTACAATAAATATATATTTAGGACAAAGCTCTCTAGAGTCAAATATACATAAATTACCTAGAGGTGAATATGCATTAACCACCTGCTGGTTTTCCTCCCCTACTGTGATTATTTGCATATTTACTACTTTATAGGTACTCAAAACTTGCAAATTTTCAACATAATAATGAAATACTTTCATAGTGTAATAATAAAAATCTGTATAGGGAACCAATTTTTTTTTCTTTATGACCTCCTTGGTTCTGCCTCTTTAATAGATTAGGACAGGAATTGTTCATCGCTCAGGCACTGAGAACATAAAGTGGTGTTTTATAGCCCTTCTTTGCCATAGGAAAACATTGTATCTTGCTAAATAAAGAACCAAATTCTGAGATCAGAGCATGATTATTTCCTATCTTCTCTCAACTGTACTATTTCTAATCACAATTTGAAAATAGTCTAACTGGAATTGTCTTATAGACAATTTCCAGAAGTACTTATTTATTTTCAACACGGCTGTGGTTTACATCAGTAAACCCCCTCTCATCATCACCACGTACTTAGCATTGTCAGTGTTACACCAAACGTTTTATTTTTCATCACTCTTGCAAAGTGTTACTGGTTATTGCAAAGGTTATTGTATCATTTGCAAGATATAATTAAAATCCATTTGGAATAGAAGCGTACTTGTTAGGGAAGGCCAAGCTGTTGCTGTGCCAGAGCAGCCTCGTTGATGCCAGACACGGAGGATTGGCTCTGGAGCACCCGTACACGATCAGCTCTCTGTGCAGATATCCAGAGACAGCATCAGCTCAGATACCAGGAAATCGTTCCTCCTTATACACGAGGGAATTTCCTGGCTTGGTGACACTTTCCTCACGTCCACAGACTAGAAATTCAGTCCAGGACCTGAGAAACTCTTTACGTCAGAACAGAGACGTGCACTCCCACAGAGAAGTCTTAATCTTTAATAAACACATTTTGTATTTAGTCGAGGAGGAAAAGGTTTCATAAGGAATCCATAACCGGACTATCTGACACACTTCTGGCGTTATCCCGAGCCTCATGACGGGGGTTCCCCTGCCGAGGCTTTCCCCGACACTGCGCCACACGCTTCGGAGTGACACGGCT